TTTCATTAAAATAAAAGAGAATGACATGTTAGTTGTACAAATTTATGTTGATGATATTATATTTGGTGCTACTAATGATATTCTTTGCCAATAATTCTCTAAGTTGATGCAAGGTGAACTTGAGATGAGCATGATGGGGAGCTCCCATTTTTGTTAAGACTCCAAATCAAGCAAATAAAGGATGACATCTTCATTAATCAAACTAAATACATAAGGGATATGCTTAATAAGTTTGGCTTGGAGAATGTTAAACCTCAAGACATTCTAATGAGCACTTCAACAAAGCTTGACAAAGATGAGGAAGGTAAATGTGTAGATGTTAAATTATATAAGTCAATGATTGGTTTTTTGCTTTATCTTACCGCGAATATACCATATATTATGTTTAGTGTTTGCTTGTGTTCTAGATATCAATCATGTCCCAAGGAATCTCATTTACATGCCATTAAGAGAATCTTTAGATACCTTAGAGACACTTCTAGTTTAGGACTTTGGTATCCTAGAGACTCAAACTTTAGCTTGCATGCCTTCTCAGATACAGATTTTGGAAGTTACAAATTGGATAGAAAAAGTACCTCCGGTACATGTCAATTCCTAGGAAATATACTAATATAATGGTTTTCTAAGAAACAAAATAGTGATGCATTATCAACCACCGAGACAGAATACATTTAGACCGGTAGTTGTTGTGCACAAGTTTTATGGATGAAACAATAACTTTTAGACTATGGAATTGATGTTGATACCATTCCAATTAAGTGTGACAATAGTAGTGCAATTTGTCTCACTAAGAATCTCATCCTACACTCTAGAACTAAACACATTGAAATTAGGCATCAATTCATTAGGGATCGTGTCTTTAAGGAAGATATAGTTCTATAATATGTTGATACTTTGTATCAAATAACTATTATTTTGCCAAGCCTTTAGATAAAGAAAGATTTTGGACACTTATGAGAGAGTTATGACTTTCTAGCATTCCCTAGGCCTTAATCCAAAATTTTGAATTTTTATGCTTTTGAATGAATTTTTGGCTTAAAATTGGTTTTTATATATATTTGAGTGATTCTATAAGGTTATCCAAAGCAAAAATTGAGGGAGAGATATGCATGTCATTTCATGACCTTTGGACATCTCAAAATTGATTAAGTATGTCAAAATAGAATCTTTCATAATAATATGATTAGAAAACTTTCTTGAATTCATGTCATACATCGTTAATCATATTTTAGCATGTTTTTAAAGTCCATATAACCCTCATGCATAATATATTCTTGTTCCAGATGATTTCCTTGCTCAAAATTTATTAAATTTACCTTTCAAGAACAGAGGTTTTGAATCCCCCTCCTCGAGGTTTTGAAACTAGTAGGGCATAATGCTTTTTGGGCTAAAGGTTTTGAAACCCCCTCCATGTGGTTTTGAAACCGGTCGGGTAGAATACTTTTCTCGGACTAAAGATTTTGAAACCCCCTATAACAGGTTTCCCCTTTAAATTTCGTGGCTTTTGTGCTTTAAATCCTAAAAAACCTCAAATACCTTTCTTTCTTCACTGTTCAAACAAAACTCAAATCCCCTTCCTTTCAATGTCCATCTGTCACACCAAGGAGGACCGCTCTGACCTCCGGCAGCCGTCGCTCACTCTAGTAGCCGTCGCTCACTCAGGTGGTCTCCATTCACCCTACTTGCTTCCTCTTTCGTTTTCTTTCTTGGTAATTTCTTTAAAACCCAAAGCTTTCCTTAGTTAGGTTTTTTTTAATTTCTTTAAATCTGTGCAAAAATGATTTATATTTGTTAAAGTTGGGTTATTATTTAGAATCATATATACATGTTTTTTATGTAAGAGGTTTACTCATCAATCCATTTTCATTAGAAACTCAAAATTCAATGTTGCCCGCCAAGTGTTTGTAAAAAGTCTGAAACGAAAGTGTTTTTTAAACACTTGTTTTTCTTACATCCAATTGCACCTAAACTTCCTATTAAACGCCCTAGGACCAATTAAGCTTCTAAAACTCCAACTTTTGAAAGTTTATGCTTTCCTAATCCCGAAGCTCTTTCCCGTTATCTCTAACATTTTATCACTCATCTTATTCATCCCGAAAGTAATTTTGATTTCAATTTTCTTAGCTAGGGTGAATATGAATTGAGTTTTTATCGTACCTTACTTGATTGAAAGTGTATTCCTTTTCTCACTCGATTGAGCAATCAATTCATCCTCAACTTGTTCGAGCATTTTTTTTGTAATGCTACATTTTGTAGGGAAATTCCTTCCGATAGGATATTTTCCATTTCAACTTTTCTTATGGGTGTCGAGCTTTAACTTACTCCCAAATCTATTGCTAGGGATTTAGGAATTCCTTTTGTGGGCCTTTTTAATGAAAAAGACACTTATCTTCCTTAACTTAGTGATCACTATCACCAAATGACCAAATTTGAACTTCTCATTGCTTATGCTTGCGTTCTAAGTCAAATATTTCGTACCCATTCAGTTAATACCTCCTTTGATCCTTCTGTTCCTCTTTCGAGCAAGCTTGATTATACCTTGGTTAAAAAATAGGGTTTAAATTTGAAAATGAAAATTGGGTTAGAATTTGTGATGGTGCTCCTCCGGTTGATAACTGCCCATGGAGATGATGCACCCATTGATGTCGTTCCTCCTCACACTCCCTTCACCTTAGACTCTCTTTACGACTATATGGCCACTCGTTTTGATGAGGTTTTTCATCATGTCGATAGCCGCTTTGATATTATGGGAGCTTGTATTTTATGCTTTGGAGGCTGTCTTTCCAAGTTGTTTCCTCTTTTTGGTCTTTCTTCCTCTTCTTATCTGGATATTGAGGATTGATCATTTGCATTGTTTATTAGACTTTTAGGATGCTTTTATATTTTATGATGGATATTTTTTGTTGGATATTTCTAGCATACTCGTTTTGGCTATTTTGCTTAAGATATTACATTGATTGTTTATTGGTTCTTTTGAGATTATTCGTCATTATGCTCTAATCTTATCTTCTCTCTTGTAGCTAAATGATTTTGATCTAACAAAAAGGGGGAGAATATTCTAGTCAAAATTGTGTTTGTCAAACTTTTCATTTTTGTATGCTTTTAATCATATACTCTTAAATTCTTTTTCAAGTGGGAGAAAAATGAAAAATCTCACTTATAAATAATTTTGACGTTTTCAAAATTTATTTTTAATAAATTTTTACAAAATGGTTTTGTTATATCAAAAGGGGGAGATTGATAAATGTAATTAAATGATTTTGATATAACATAGAACTAAATTGAAAATTTTGTAAAATTAATATTTTATTCGATTCAAGAATTTTCAAGTTTTTAAAAATAATTTTTTAGTATCAAAATGTCAAAAATAAATTTAAAAATGTTGTTAAAATTTATAAAGTTTTAAAATATTTTTTTTGAATATGAAACAATGCATATTTAAGAGTTTTTGAGCCTGGTTTCCAAACCCCTTTAGGTGGTTTCGAAACCTCTAATGTAATAGCAAAAATTAGCCTTAAGGTTTCAAAACCCCCTCACAGGTTTCGAAACCCCCTGATTCAATGATCAAAATTTTTAAATGAGAGTTTTGAAACCCCTTAGGTGGTTTCGAAACCTCTGTGTTGGTTTGCATTGAATTCACAAATTTAATGCTTCAAACAGCTCCAAACTTCCTCCAACAACCACAAACAGCTAGAAATTAATGAGGGCATATAAAAGGGGTCTTCAAATAGCCAAGAAGAGACAAAAAACCCATTCCAACAATCAAAGAGCAAATAGAGACAAATTTTATTCTTTGCCTTTCTTTCATAGAACATTATTCCATTCATTATATTTTTCATTCTAGTGTTATTGGGTGTGTGTGAGAGTTTCAATTCGTAAACATTCTATATTTGTGTGGATATTCAAAGTTTTCTTATTTGTAATTACTTTTTGGGAAGGGTTGAACACTTAAGACTTTGAGGTTTAAGTCTTAATGTTGTGTAAGGTTACACCTTGTCCTAAAGGGTTATAACCAATTAGTGAATTTGTTGAAATCCCTAGTTAGGAAGCTAAAGTATTGGATGTAGGCTTCATTAAAGAAGTTGAACCACTCTAAAATCTTTGCGTCTTTCTTTTTACTTCTTACAAAAGCTTCCAACAATTTTTTAAATTGTCAATTCACCCCCTCTAACCATATTTCTTGATGGATTGACTCAATATATATATATATATATCAATTTCTTATTGAAAATTTATAATAATGTACAAATTACAATATATATTGTAAAAAATTCAAAAATATATAAAATAACATATTTAAACAATAATTTTTATAAAACAAATTGATAATTTCTTTAATTTTATTTTAAAAAATGTTATTTCATTGCTCAATTCATCAAAAGGAAAGATAGGGGTAGGGTTTATAATCAAAGATAATAAGGTAGTATTTTGGTAATCTTATCTATAGATTTAAATTATGGTTGTCATTGCGTTTTTAGTTATATTACGTTTATTACGATTACAACAATAGCAAGTGTTATTGTGAGTATCGCGATTATGAAATAATAGTTTCGTAGAATATTTTTATTGTTATACAATAATTATTATTTCGATAACATATTATTATTTAAATCCATGATCTGATCTCAGTCGATAAACCATGTGAGGGTTGGAATCATTGTAGAAGCAGAAACGACTCGTTTTGCCTTACAAACTACCTCTTAACCTGGCATTCTATGATGTTGTGCTAGAGTGTGATTTTTTTAATCGTCTCATATAATTATATGATAATATTTATTTAAATCTATATATATATATTTTTTTAATTTTCTAACATTGCATGTACACTTTATAAACACAATTGTTTGAATTTATATTTTTCTTAAAGGTTCTGTGTTCAACCAAATATTCGTGAGTTGTCAATAAATTAAAAAGATTTTAATAATTTTTTTTTATAAACACCTTTATGAACGTGACATTTTAACCTTCAATTTGCCTTTTTTATTAGTTCAATTCTTTAAATATGGAATAAAGCAAATAAGAAAAGACGAAGCGATTATTACAAGTCAACGTGAAAATAGCTTCATCGGGCACCGTCGAGTTCAAATGCGACTTGGTTCTTAATGCTGTCGTACCCTATGGAGCTGGTAGTGCCATAATCGGCATAAATGTTGCTCAGTTCATCACCAAGCAAATACTCCGATTCTTCCACTTGCAAGTTACGTTTGCCCCATTGGTACCTTTCCATTGCCTTCAATCCTGCCAATTCATGCGCCACCTCCTTCATTGTTGGCCTTTCCTCTCCCTTCACCCTCACACATTCCCTAGCCAAAGCTGCCACTTCCTTAACCTGCTCCATTTCCACATTGTTGTTAAGCATCCGAGCGTCGACGATGTCGTGCAACCGCTCTTCTTTCATCAATGAAACAAAGTACTTAGCCAAAACTTTCTCTTCTTCCGGTCCTTCGCCGCAAAGCGCCTTTCTCCCCGTTAATAACTCGATGAGCACAACCCCAAAGCTATAGACGTCGCTCTTTTCGGTTAATTGACCGGTGTGCATGCATTCGGGATCTAGATACCCGAAAGTTCCTTGCAACATTGTAGTCATTTGTGCCTGGTCGGACAGGGCTAATCTCGAAGCTCCGAAATCTGACACCTTGGCGGTGTAGTTCTCGTCCAAGAGTATGTTCGCCAACTTGACGTCCCGATGAATGATCGGAATGGAAGCCGCCGAGTGCAAATAAGCAAGGGCTTCCGCTGTTTCCATGGCGATCCTCAACCGAGTCTCCCACATAAGAAAAGACCGAGGTGCCGCACCAGGGACGACAACGTCGTGGATGTGATCGAAAAGCGAACCGTGGGTCACGTATTCATAGACCAACAGAGGAACCGGGGTCTCCAAACAACACCCGAGGAGCTTGACGACATGCTTGTGGTTGATTTGGTAGAGCACCATGATTTCATTGATGAATGGTTCGACTTGGCTTTGGTCTCCGATTCTCGATTTCTTAATGGCGACCACCTTATTCCCCGGTAGAGTTCCTTTGTAAACAGTTGCCTGCCCTCCTTGTCCTAAAATCCGGCTTTCATGGAAGCTGTCGGTGGCCTTGTTGAGTTCTGCGGCTGCAAATATTTTATCATTTTCAGAGCTCCCTCGGCTTTTTGAAAGTTGTTGCAATAAATTCCCACCGTTTTGGTTGAAATATTTCTCCCTCATCTTCGCAGTTTTTCTTTGCTTAAATGCCAACGACCACGAAATGAACACGAAGATAACCAAAAAGCCGATGCTCGTCCCTGTATTCAAATTCAGAATTAAAATATTTATAATAATATTAATATACTTCAGTAAGGTTTTTTAAGTATTTTGCAATTGCATCGGCGTCGAGTTGATTTACGACATTAAATTCAACCAAAAATTTAATGATAATATACATTAATATATATTCAAAATTCTTTATAATCATTGATTATGTATACGTATTCTATAAATATAATTATTTAAATTTGAGTTCTCTAAACTAACGAATTTTTCTTTTACTAGAAAAATCATTCTAATATATATTTATCTTAAATCTTATTTAATTTCACGGATTAAAAAGTCTAATCGATAGACGCATACTGACCAATGGCAATCTGAGCACCAACGTGCGTTCCCTTGACCTTAGGACTGCAACCAGTTCCATTCCGGTGGCCGTCACCATCATATCCTTTCGGACACGAACAGTAAAAACCTCCGAACGTATTATGACATGCAGATGTGCATGGCTTCAAAGTCTCACACTCGTCTTCATCTGATAAATCCCAATAAAAGTTTTTATCTTTCGATAGCCATGGAAACAACCAACTGATGCTGTGATTTAACATAAAAAGGGACAGTTTAGTAATTTACCTCGGCAGCCATTGGAGAGGTAAGGGTTACCTTCAAAACCATCGCTACACCTACACAAATATCCATTACCAAACTCCGGTTCACGACAGATACTGTTCTCTTTGCAAGAGTACGTTTCAGTACCTTTCTTCGCTTCACTGCAATTCTGATTCCCAATGGTCCAATCAAGAACCATCGGAAGTTTCCAGTGCACATCGGTTCTGTTAAGATCGGAAGTAGAGAATTCGTACTCTCCGTCCTCCACCACAAATCCATAGGAACACGGATTGGAGGTTAATAATCCCGAATGGTTGGAAGAACTCGTGAGGCTGATGTTATAATCACGCACTCCCCTCGGAATATTCGCCTGACAGCAGCCGATACCGGAGCAAGAACCGTTTGTTACATCACCGATTTCATTACACAACGAGAAACACCCGGTCGCGTAAGCTTGTCCGGTGCTTCCCATGATGAAGGCAATCGTGTCGCAGCCGATGGCGGTGAACTTGTTCTTGGTGCTCGATATGTTGTATAGACCAGTTCTCAGCCATGTCTCGAATTGGAAACTGCCGCTGCCCGATAAATCGTAACAGTCATAGCCTACCCAATTACGGACCCGCAACTCGCCGCCGTTGAGATCGATGTCGAGGACGTCGATGGTGCTGTTGTTTAAGAACGCTTTGGGAGGCTCTGTAGTGTTGGAAGTGTCGCATCTGATGAAAAATTTGCTTTCCATGAAACAACCTTGTTCCATGCCGAAAGGGTATGGGACAGTGAGGTTGCCGCACTGGCTTTGGCAGCCGGGCTTCGCTTCTTCTGCTGCCATTGTTGCAGCCAATATAGTGATAAGCATGATGAACTCTCCGATTGAACCCATTTTCATGGAAAGAAAATAAGATGATGGTTCTGAGAACTTCGAATCGTATGCTATTGGTTCTTATTAGAAAAAAATGCTTAAAATTCAAACCTCGTAACCTGTTCACCAGGTCTTAGTCCTCGTAACGCGTTCACCAGGTCTTTGTCCTCTTAACCTGTTCACCCGGTCTTCCTTTTAATAAAATTAAATACCTTCCACTAACGTCAATTTGTAACATCAACTTGTAGGAGGGGAATTATTGACTCTTCAAAGAATTAACATGCCATGAACTTGATCATGTGTCGAATTTGCTAAGTGATTGACTCACTTATTTTATCAGAAAATACTTCTACCAAACCCTTCTCATATTAAACTCAATTTAAAGCATCCAATGAACTTACAACTGTCACACTTAATTATTATAATGTAATCTAAAATATAATTTTAACCAAACTAAAGTTTACAACGTATGTATTCTAAATATTCAAGTGATTTAAAATATTTTTTTATTAATATGAGCTAATACAATACATTAACTATTTATAGATAACTATCCATCATTTGACATTGAACTCTTACATCCCTGATATTTCTTATGCTTGAATCCGATATTTCAAGAAATAACAACGATTTTTTTACTATTAAAATTGTTTAATTCGTGCAAAATACGTATAAAACATACTTTTTCATATTAATACATCTCATAAAAAACGGAGCTCCTATATTTCTAAAACAAATATATATGAATTATATATTCAGATGAATTTTATATTTTGATTCATTAAAATTTGGATAAATTATACAAATGGTCCTTAATTATAAGATGTTATTTTATTGAGTCCCCTAATTATTAAAAGTTATAAAATGACCCCTTGACTATAGGGTAATGCTTTGTTGAGTCATTCGACTATTAAAAGTTATAAAATGATCATCTGACTATTCATATGTTTCAAATTCATCATTTTTTGTTAAAAATTTGACGACCGTTTGAGCTTGACATTAACATGTTAAGATATAATAAAATTATATTTTAATAATGTCTAGTGACATTGTCGTTGCTTTCAAACATTGGCCCGAGGACAGAATGTTTCAAGTATTTGCTCAACGACATAATATAAATGGAGAGTCGATCCAAAAAATACATCTCAAATAGTTCTGAGATCATATTTTATCATATCTCAGTCAACATGTTAACTTAAAACTCAGACGACCACCATTTATTTAACAAAAAGGATGAGTTTGAAACATATGAATAGTCGGGTGACCATTTGTAACTTTTAATAGTCGAATGACTCAACAAAACATCATCCTATAGTTGAGGGGGTCAATTTGTAACTTTTAATAATCAGGGAATCAACAAAGCATCACTCTATAGTAAGAGGATCATTTGTGTAATTTATCCTTAATTTTTTTATCTTTACGGCTCCCTTAAGTATCATTTACTACACTCGAGAAATATATAATAATACATGCACAAACCGATCGAACTCGGTATAAAGGAATTGTTGTTATTCTTTGAGGTCTTGAGTTCGAGCACTAGGAATAGCAGAGGTGTGAGCGCTTAATGTCAAATGGTTGAGAGTTATCTTTGAATAGATACTACATTGTATTTACGCCATATTAATATAAATAAATACAGTTTTATATATGGGTAAATTATGCATTTAGTACTTAAACTATCAATTTTGGTATGTTTTAGTAGCTAAACTTTGGATTTTTTTTTTTTCAAAATCATACTAACATTTAGTTTTTTGTTTTATTTTAGTACCTTGACATTAAAAACTTAATGACACTGTAAATGACATCATTCTTTACTCAACTATCTTCTCACTCTTATTTTGGTTTTAAAAAAATTCAATTTAACTACTCAACTTTCAAATTGCTCCTATTTTAATAGCTCTAATTTATTTTATTAATAATTTTGTGAAATGAATTTTTGTATTATTTTATTAATATATAATTAAAAATAAAAATAAAATTGAAAGTTAAAGTGATTAAATTAGGAGTAATTTGAAATTTAAGTAATTAAATTAAAAAAAATTAAACTGTAGTGACCAAAATAGGAGTGAGAAGATAGTTGAGTGATTAATGATGCAATTTACCAATAAAAAGATGCCATATGCAAATCACCATTTTGTTTTTAACGGCAAGATACTAAAACCAAACAAAAACCGAAAATCATGTATGTACTTGAAAAAATTGAAAGTTTAGGTACTAAGATGATCAAAACTAATAGTTTAGGTATTAAACACGTAATTTATCCTTTCGATAAAATGATTGGTTGGATTGACTATTAAAATATGGGACCTACACCATCAATGTTGTCAATCTTCAACATAAAACCTCCTATCCATCGGCCATTATCATCATAGATCAAACCCCCTACTGAGGTTGATACCGTAACTTATTTTGAGGGGCGTTCAAACGATTAGTTTGGTTATCGACCGAATCGAATTATCATTAACTGAATTAATCGAATTTTTTTTCTATTATTATTTGATTGTTTGGAGGGTGTGGTAGCGGTGGTGCAGACTCTTTTTGTGCTACTTTTTGGTTATGGTAAGAACAAACATATGTATGTGGGCACAGAGTGTGTGCTATTGTAGAGGCAAATTGACTTTTAAGCCTAAACCACGGTGCTGTGAAGAGCTTTGTGTGAAGCTCCGCCCGTTTAGGTGCCTTTTCAGCGTACAGGTGCTGCTGCAAAGAGGTGGATTGGTCGCAGATCAGGTAATGCCTAGTTGCCATGTTTTTGGGTTCTGGAGAAATTTCATCAGTAATGAGTATCGTTTTGAACGATTTGTATCTTATTTGTCGATATATGGCGTACTATTTTTCTTTCATTTAAAGTTAGAGAAGTTTTTTAACGAGACTCGAATTGATGTTTGTTTTGCTTATGTTTTAGTTAATAAAATATGCAAACCGTTATTACAAAAAAACTATTAATCGAATCAAACTTTTTTTAACCGAACAAAGTTTGATTATTTTGATCGGTTAACTAAATTAACAGATTTTTTTTTATAATTTTTTAATTAGATTAATTTGATTATAATTGAGATACTTTTTATTTGGGTTAAAATTTAATTAAGTATTGATAATTTAATGAATTTAGCGTGGTTTAAAAATAATTGGATCTTAATTCTTAATGAGTTTAAGCTTAAAATATGGATTTAATATATATTTAATATTTAAGAATTTTGATTAATTCGGTTAATTAACCGCTTTTAAACCGAATTAATCGTTAAACAAATAGTAAAAAATTAATTGTTCCCTAACCGAACTAATTCGATGGCTGACCAAATTAACTGGACTAATTCGATTCAGTCGATTAACTTGGTTGAAACCGAATAGTAAACACTCCTACTTGTTTTATTTTTGAAAAAATGGTGAATTTAATTGATGGATTTAATTATCTTTTAATTGATGGATTTAATTTAAATATTAGTAGAATAATTACTCTTTTAATAATTAATTTTAAAAATGTATTTGTTATCTTTATAATTTTAAATATTAAAATATAATTATATATTTTTGTATATTTCAAATTAAAATAAAATCAATTAAGTTTGAATAGTAAAAGGAATTTATTTTTGACTATTGCAAATTAAATATATTATTTAATTTAAATATTAGTAGGATAATTACTCTTTGAATAAGTCAATTTAAAAATGTATTTGTTATCTTTTTAATTTTGAATATTAAAAGGTAACTATATACTTTTGTATATTTTAAATTAAAATAATATCTGTTTAAGTTTGAATAGTAAAATGAGTTTACCTTTTGATCATTGTAAATCAAATATATTATTTAATTTTAATATTAGTAGGATAATTAATCTTTGAATATGTCAACTTAAAAATGTATTTGTTACCTTTTTAACTTTGAATATTAAAGATAATTATATAATTTTGTTTATTTCAAATTAAAAGATATTGTTATCTGTTTAATGTTGAATATTAAAATATATTTGATTATATTAAATCTCTCTTGAAAATCCCTATAAATAATGTGTAAAATTGTTATATTTTTCACATCTTAACATATCTCACAACTCAATTTTTCAAGAACTTCTTTTATCTTGAAAAAATTTTCTTTTCCTTAGTTTTTCTGGTGATAGTCGAAGGCAATGATCCTTCGTGATATGTGTAGATATGCTACTGCAGATGATCATTAGTTGTTATATCTTGGTAGACAGATGACCAATGAACTCGAGCACCAAAATAGTGGCAAAAAATATGTCTTAATGAAGCTGTGTAGCGACATACCTTAACTGATTCTGGTCGATAGATCAAAATAAAATGAGTATTTTATTTCTATTTGTTTTTATCTTATCTTCTAGAAGCTTACCTTTTTTGTTTATTTTTCTCATGATTGATTTTGTCTCAAATTGTTATTTCGGATAACAGTCTCAAGATAATAATAAACTCTTTCATTCTCTTTATCACTTTGTAATTTTGATATTTTATAATGATTTTTATTCATTATTATTTTTCTATATCATTCTCGGATTAATGTGTGTGTTTTTCCTAACAATCTTAAAACATATTTAATTCTCTTATTTTTCCGAGATGATATAAAAATTTTGAGTTTAATCCTTGTTGTGTATAAGGGAAGTGTCAAAAATTCGGTAAAACAAATATTCGACGAAAATCAAGAGGATTTTATGCCAAATACAAGTTTCGTTCAATTTTTGAATTTATGATTTCAAATTCTTTGAGGAATAATTTTGAAGTTAATTTTAATGTGAGATATGGCTCCATTAATTTCTGTGTAGGGATTTAAATAATTGGATTCTAATATCTTTGCAACATCTCTGTTGTTGCACACTTTGTGAGCCACACCTTGAATCTTGATGGTTTGGGTTTTGATTAACAATGGTAAAGTTAATAAAGATGATCAAGAATTCAAGTTTTGATTAACAACGATGAAATCAATCAGGTAGGTGAAATCTGAATATTTCCCTTTAACCTGAAACGATTTGAAACTCTTTCTTCTACTTTTCTTAATCTTAAATGATTCAGATATCGTGGATAATAAAATAACAAATAAATTTATTTCAGGATTTATCCTATTGTTTTAAGGGGTTTGCTAAAATCTCAAGGTGTACAAAATTGTATAACAGAAATTGTCGTGAAAGTAACTGTGGTTATTGATTTTGTTTCAGTATTTTGATTCTATTCAATAACAAAATAAAAAATAAACAATAATTAATTTTCTGTTTATTGGAATCTTTGATTTCATATTTGAAATGAATTGAGATTTTAATTATGTCGTGTAACAGAATTATTTGATTTCTATAGAAATCGTTAGAAAGTAAAAATCGTGTTACTGATTTGTTTCAAAATTTTAGTTCATGACTAAATTTTGTTGATAGAATAAATCAAATTTTAACTTTGGTTTATTGTTGGAATTATTATTAATTCTAGTTTCGTATGTTAAACGAAATCATGATTGCCAGTGGTCATGAGCTATGATAAAAGCTTGTAAAATTCTATGAACATAATTTTAAGTTATGATAACATAATATGTTGTTTTATTTGGTCATGGTGAATTTGACCAAATGTTAGACGATCCTTCTAATTACAGAGGATGAGGTAAATGTTGTTACCGGATTTTGGAAGTATTATGACTTCCTATGTTGGAAATGCATCTTGAATGTATTATCATATACACAATATAAGGTGTACAACTGAATCATATATACAAAACAGAAGATGCTGATACTAATAAATAATTAGTGACCAAGTTCTTAAACTTCATAATAATGGTATAGACGAGGGAGAATAAATATTTTATTATCTCCATTGATGATAGTAAAAGTATTGTTATGTGTATTTGCTAAAAGAGCAAAACGAAGTTATATAGAAAAAAATATTTTTTATAAACATGAAGTTGAAAATCAACTTAATAAATAAATTAAGATGGTAAGAAGTGTGTACAACATGATATTACTCATGAAGTGACATCACTATATTCTCCTAAAAAATGGAGTAGCAAAGCGGAAGAATTGAACATTGAAAGCAATGCTAAGAAGTTTTGAGTTGTCACAAAACATGTGGGGGAAAAATAAGTTGTTCTGTCAACTAATTACCTTTTAAATAAGGTCCCCAGGAAAGAAAAAGAACAAGACACCACATGAGCTATGAAAAGGTGAAAACCTATATCACACAAACACTTGAAAATGTGGGGTAGTCTTGAGAAAGTAATTTTCATATTACCAAAACAAATGAATATAAGTTCTAAACAATGGATTGTATTTTCTTTAACTATCCTATTATTTAGAAAGATAGTCTGATGCTATTTGGAATTTGATATTTATGATATCAACGACACAAGTGAATATATTTCACATTAGAATGAAAAGTCGTGTTATGGAAATTCTTAAGAAAACGACTATAACCAGATTCATAGTGAAATCTGAGTTTGAAGCTCTAGATAAGTCTAAAGAATAATTCGCATCTCTTTGGAATTTCTTGGAGGATATTATTAAATGACTTAAACATGTGCCCACAATATGTTTATACTGTGACTAGCAAGTATAATGGTAAGTCGATACATATGCGTCATCGACATAATACCATATACAATTGATCTCAAATTGAGTTATCTCTGTTGATTTTGTAAGAACAAAGGATAACATTACAGATATGCTAACCTAAGGGTTAAATCGAGATCAAGTTGAGAAAACATCTAAAGGAACGTGACTAAAGCCCATGAAATTTAAAGGTGTTATGTGAAGGAAAACCCTACCTTGTTGACTGGAGATCCCAAGATCTAGGTTAAAATGAACAACCTAATTGAATAACCTGTGTACGGTCACTGTGGGGTTTTTTTATCCCAAGTTCATTCATATGATGTAAACAATGATCAAAGTGGTATAGGCTAAGCAAAAAGCTTTTAATGACCATTGTGTGCTTCAGTGAGCCGAGCAACATAAGTCACCTATGTGGCAGTGAAGTGAGACCGCTTCAAGGAGACTATTAGCCATAGTTCTTTCAAACTCTTGCAGAACCAGGGAATGTCCATGGTTTTAAGGACATACCCATGATAATTAAATTCTTATCATATGGATAGTTGTGTGAAGTATGTCATCAAATGGTATAACAGTTCAAGGACATTGCGTCTATTGTTTAACCAGTAAAGTAAACATACTATCACAAGGGAAGGTTTTAAGGAGAACACCTATCTATCATATGCAACTATCAATCATAGAGGCTATCACCATATCGTGCCGAAATATTTTTGATTAAACCATCAATTTCATTCAAGTGGGGGATTGTTGAAAAAATGGTGAATTTAATATTTATACTAAATTCATAGTCCTTTTGACTATTGCAAATTAAAATATAATTTTTAATTTGAATATTAGTAGGATAATTATATTTTAATAAGTCAATTTAAAAAGGTATTTGTTATCTTTTTTAATTTTGAATATTAAAAGATAATTATATACTTTTGTATATTTCAAATTAAAATGATATTTATTTAAGTTTAAATAGTAAAATGAGTTTACCTTTTGACCATTGTAAATTAAATATATTATTTAATTTGAATATTAGTAGGATAATTACTCTTTGAATATGTTAACTTAAAAAAATAGTTGTTACATTTTTTAACTTTGAATATTAAAGATAATTATATACTTTTGTTTATTTCAAATTAAAATAATACATATTTAAGTTTAAATGATAAAATGAGTTTTATCTTTTGAATATTTCAAATTAAAAGATATTGTTATCTGTTTAATGTTGAAAATTAAAAGATATTTGGTTTGATTAAATCTCTCTTAAAAATCTCTTATAAATAGTGAGTAAACCTATTAGGTTTTTCACATCTTAACAGATCTCACAACTCAGTTTTTCAAGAATCTCTCTTATTTTGAAAAAAAATTCTCTTAGTTTTTTTCGGTGATAGTCGAAGGCAAGGATCCTTCGTGATATGTGCAGATGTGCTACTATAGTTGATCATTAGTTGTTGTATCTTGGTAGACAGATGACTAACGAACTCGAGCACCAAAAGAGTGGCCGAAAATCTATCTTAAGGAAACTGTATAGCGACAGGCCTCAACTGATTCCAATCGATAAATCAAAATAAAAGGGGTATTTTATTTCTATTTATTTTTATCTTATCTTCTAAGAAGTTTAACATTTTTTTTTTATTTTCTCATGATTAATTTTGTCTCAAATTACTATTTCGGATAACAATCTCAAAAATAAGAGTAAACTCGTTCATTTTTTTTATCATTTTGTACTTTTGATATTTTATAATAATATTTATTTATTTTTTTTATATCATTCTCATATTAATGTGCACATTTTTTTTTCTAACATTAATTGTATTTCCACACACCCCAAGGACTGCAGGTTTCCCACTGTACTCTATAAACCATAAGCTTGATTAAACTACAGTTTACTCATAATCAGAGATTTAAATTACATTTATGATCACGTTATAGTTATTGTAATTATGAAAATAGCTGGTGTTATATTATTGTTACAGATTTAACGATAGTGAAATAAGAGTTTAAGACAATACTTTTATCGTTATAAAACAATCGCTATTTCAATAGTACATTTACAATCGAATTTGACAATAATGCAGTCTCTAAGTGTGTGTTCAGCAGATTCATTGTCATTCATATCGTCACTGATTTTATATTCTTCCTAAATTGAACCTCTTTGGTGTTCAGTTTATTGAAATAGCTCAATGACATTTATCTCCTAGCCGTACATTTTCTTTCTCTTGATTTTATACAAGTACGAGAACTTATCACCCCTTTCATTTTTTTATATTCATATGTTTCAAACTCATTATTTTTTTAAAAAAATTTAACGGTCTTCTGAGCTGGACGTTAATATGTTGATTGAGATATGATAAAGTCTTATCCCAGAAATGTTTCAAGTGTATTTTGTGAATTGAGTCTCTGTTTATATTATGACATTCGAATTGGTGCTTGGAATATTATGATGTCGAGCCAGTACTTGAAAGTAACGGTGAGGTCAGTAGATATCATTAAAATATAATTTTTTTATATCTCAATCAGTTTGTTAACATTTAACTCAAATAATCATCAATTTTTAACATAAAATGATGAGTTTAGAGCAAATATGGAGGACCAGGTAATGAATTTTTCCAGCTTTATAAATAAACATTCATGGGACTAACGACCGTGTACTCCATATTTTACCATCTTTATATTTGCCACAATGGTTAATGCAGTTTCCAGTTTCCACACAGCAGACGCCTCCAAATAAAAGAAGGGTTTAATAGGCGGCTATTCCTTTCTGTCAGTGGCGACTGGCGAGTTTTCAGTAAGCATCTCTTCCTTGGAATTCACTCGATCCCTGTAGGAACAAATGCTTAACGGCAGCAATTTCTTTAGTTTTCACTGTTAGAATCCTTTGTTTTCTCAGGAGTTGGCAAGCTCTTAGGTCTATTATGTATTTATCTGTGAATTTCTCTGGCATGAGTTGGTTGATTATTTTTGTTACTTTATCTTATGCACTCAAAACTCGTTTTTGTTGTTGGCCTTTTGTGTTTAATTTGCTCGGATCCTAGTTTCTCTTACCGTTTGTTAAGGTTTCAAATAGTTCCTTAGTAAATTACCTTATCTGATTGATATATTTATGTGTAGCATTCTTGAAGTTTTTTATTAGCGATGAGGTGAAAGAAAGGTAACAATGGATACTGAGCTTCAACGGCCTCTTTCTTTCCGTTTAAACCGCAGAGGAGATCGTAGTAATCAAAGATCATGTGCTGAAGGTAAACGAAATCCCTAATTTTATTTTTTCACTTAGGTTGGTGCAATGAAAACTTGGGTTATTATTATGGCATTTGTTTATGTTGTATATATTATATCTTTGTATTCTTTAAAATGGAGGGTAATTTGTATTTGTTACTTGTTTCGGTTTACGGATTATGATTTTTGGAATTACTTGATGAGGTGTAGTTTTGGGGATTTTATTTGTCTTGATGCAGATGATGGGGGTGGTTTGTTCTCTTCGGTAAGGTTGCCACAAGATAATCCTATGAAAACTGTGTGGAAGCAGGGCTTTTTTCGATTGGTTTTAGTCGCAGCCATTCTATGGATGTTGCTTATTCTTATTGTTTTACTATTCCATGTTTTGTCTTGCCAATCTTTGTTATCTTCCTTTTCAGGTATGATTTCATTCTTCTATTTGTTAGCTTTCTGTTGGTTTTTGGAAAAGAAATACAAATTTGTTTGTATATGAGTTAGAAGAATGAGAATGAAATGAACGGAGTATTATACTTACTTTTCTGGTATCTTGATCTAAAATTTGAACAGACACTGCTCTAGTTGCCAATGAGCTCAGTGAATGAACTAGGTTCAGTTTGGTGGGCTTTTTTTGGGTCCTAAAACCTGAAAGATGTTGACCTCCTTCACCGAGCTATTTTTTGTTCCAGAAACTGTTAATAAAGATTATGATTTGATTCACCACCAGTGGAAAAAATAATTCCACAAGCAGTGAAAAAAGGATTTAAATATGCCAGTCATCATCTTAAGACCGCTTGTGGACTTATTTATTTTCTACTGGAAATGTATCAAGTAATAACCCTTATTGTAAAGTTGACTGGAATTATGTTTCTGCATTGGACTATTGTGCTGTTACGTCAACATGTATGCTAAGACATGGCTTGACGTAGTGATGTCCTTTTCATTTTTTAATTAATTGGTCTGGTAAATACTTGGAAAAAAGGTTGGTTGGGTCCTTTCCTATATTAGGGAATTCTCGAAACAATTCAGAAGTTGCTTTGTCTCCTTTCTGTGTGCTTCACTTACATCCATTCTTGGTGAAATGTCCAGTGCAATATGAAATTATGGTTTAGAAATTGTAGCCATGTTTCATCATTCGTTCGAGATGATATATTGTTCCTTTTTTATGCAGCGATTTGCAAGAAAGAGGGCAAGGTAATCATCTCAAAGGACTCGCTTGGATTGACTCCAAAAGCAGAACATCGTAAGGTCATGCGAACTCTTCTTTTTCCAAATACTAATCTCTCTGCTTTTACTTTTAGTATTGATTGTAAATTGATCAAATAGGTTGTCCAATTCCAGTCGCTGATGACCCTGATAAAATAGTTATTCCAGAGGGAAAAACACCAAATGTAATTGTTAAAGATTTAATCTACATTGAGGAGGAGAGTTTGGTTAACAACGGATCTCATTCCTTCCCAGTATTTGGAGGTAACCAAAACTGGCAGCAAAGAGAAAAGAGTTTCAAATTAAAGCCAAGTATGAAGGTAAAACTTTTTTTTATTTTCTTTTAATCCTCTGCTCTTATCCATAACTAAAGCAAATAAGGCTCTAGATTGTGAGGATTGAAAAGGTTATTTTTCCCATAATTAGTTGTTAAGTTTCATATATTTTTGGGGTGAAAATGGCCTCACTCTTGCCTCTACACTTGCCTTTGCTTACCTCTTTTAGATGGCTGAAAATATAATCAAGTGATCTTTTGTATTCATTTTTTTCCTTTAGGTACCCTGCGGATTTCTGCGAAATGGCGGCGCTGACATGAATCCTTTGGATATTGAATATGTCAAGAAATGTAGGTTTGTGGTTGCATCTGGGATTTTTGACGGATACGATGTACCTCACCAGCCATCAAATATAAGCGCTCGTTCTAAGAAGCTCTTCTGTTTTTTTATGGTTGTTGATGAAGTATCTCTAAAGTTTATTAAAAAAAATGTGACCATCAGGAAAGATAGAGATAAGGGGATGTGGGTAGGCATATGGCGTCTGATCCCACTGAAGCATCCCCCTTATGATGAGCCTAGAAGGAATGGGAAGGTTCCCAAGATTTTAACCCACAGGTTATTCCCTGAAGCACAGTACAGCATATGGATTGATGGTAAAATGGAGCTGATAGTTGATCCTTTGCTTATGCTTGAAAGGTATGTTCACGTGTTATTGAATCGTTAAAAAATTTTGCCGTTTCCATATTTTCTACCTGTTGATGAATGAGACAAAAGACGATCTCTTTTAATTTAGCATGCATCATGGAAATCTTTATAAATTAGGCATACTATAATGTTATTGAATTCTTAAGAACTTTGCAGCTTACATATTTATTCCCTGTGAATGATTGAGACGGGAATACAATTACATCAGATTTATAGGTTTTGGCAAAGTGTGGCCATATTAAGATGCTCTTTAAAATTGGTTAATTTTCTGTTTATAGTAATAATTTTTATATTGAATGCAATAGTTGACAACTTTATTGATGATTGATGATAAACTGAGTAAAGATATTACTTAAAAGCACGCATATCGATCCTTTGATATAAACATAACATTTACCTGTTTGAGAGGAATTTTTGATCGAGAACCATCCTGGTTGATTTATTTTCTCACGAGCTATGTGAAGCTTGAATTATCATCTCGATGTAGAAACAGTTGGATTGAATCATTTCCTATTGGTAGGTACCTATGGCGTGATAAGCATACTTATGCGATAGCTCAGCACAAACATCATAGGAGCATATATGAGGAGGCTGATGCAAACAAGCGGAGAAAGCGTTATGCCAGACCTCTTATTGATCTGCAGATGAAGATATACTATTATGAAGGAATGGAGCCATGGAGTTCGAAGAAAAACACTATCAGCGGTATGAAGGGATAATCATTTTGCTTACAAGAATGTATTTCTTGTATGCCCTCTTTTATTAAGTCATCTGGGTTCATGAAGAATGTGTAGTATTGAGGCTATAGTTCTGTCGGTGCAAGCTAATATACGTCTTCATAACCAAATGCAGATGTGCCCGAGGGAGCCATAATCATAAGGGAACATACTGCACTCAATAATTTGTTCAACTGCTTGTGGTTCAACGAGGTTAATCTATTCACACCAAGAGACCAGCTGAGCTTTGGCTACGTCGTTTACAGGTTAAGGGGCTTGTTTAAGTTCTTTATGTTTCGGAATTGTGAATACTATTCACTTTTTGTCTTGCACCCGCATACTAGGGAGCATTCTTCTAAAGTAGAGTGGGTTAAGAATTTGAGCGAGTTTAAGGGAAGTGGTAGTAGCATGAAAGAGAGTAGAGGAGGATTCGGCTTGTGGACTCCATATCCAAAAAACCTTGATTCGGTTACCCTCCCACCAGCGGTAAGAACATCAAAAGCAGGCTGAGGCTTCTCAGTAGCTATCTCGAATTGTCTATCGAGCTCGAAACTATTTATCGAATGATACCTTTTATGGATCCATCACTGCTTAAGACTGATGGCCTTGTATAAATGACTGTATGATAGATGGGAACACTGCATAAGCGAGTGAAATAAGCATTTTGGTCCATGCAAGTTAGAAAAACAAGTAGATTAATTATTTTTTTAACAAATAGAAAAAATTGTTAGACGCACTTAATTAGAAGATATGACGTAATAATTTTAAGCAAGGTAGGAGATTCATTTAACCCATTTTTAGTTTAATTTGAATTGTTGCATCTGATTCGATTTAATTTTATACCTATTTTAAACTACCTCAGTGGTTAAAGAGATTGTTTGTATCACCAAAGAATATATCTATATTAAGCGTTTTTTTCTTTTTATCGGTTTCTACTTAGGGGAGGAGAAAGAGAATTTTATTCATAAGTATTAAATTGAATGTAACAGTTTGAATTAAACTACAATGAGTTATTAGTTAAAAATGTCAATTAAGATTAATTAACTGATGTTTGATTGATGATTAAAAGAATAATCTCTTTTTGCTTGTTTTTCTATGTTCGTTTTGAAAAAGTACAAGATCAAGCTGTGTGTGTTTAGTACAGGGACTCGGAGAGTATTTTTACTAAAACCGACAAAGAAGTTATAAAAGTTGCACGAATTAATAGGTCTCCAAAGAACAGAAACATGCCGTTACTAGTATTACATTGGCATTATTTTCTGTTTCTTTTTCTGTTTTTGGGTTCGAAAATGGCTGCATCAACACACTCTGTCCGGCCTAATCGTCTCTGTCACAGCTCCCTCACCACCTAATTAGAAGGGAATAAGATTCGACTTGAAAAAACTAAATTTCTTTTATTTAATTTATTACAAAATAAAATTCAATAATTTAAAAATTTTAAAGGTTAATAGATTGATTTTAGAATGGACTCGATGATGGCCCTCTAGTAAGGATAATCAAGAAGCTATCCCGCAGGTTGATTCATTGCCCCACCGTTTGAGATTTGAATTTTTTTAAGATTTGAGTAAATGTTTAAACTTTAGTTATGGTCCTGGGTATCGGACTTTGTCTGTGTGTGTTTCAGCAAGATTTGAGGTTTGGGACGATGAGATTTTAAACGGCAGTGAATGTATTTATAGAGAATTCGCAGTCTGGCTCCCGGGTGCTTATTAAAACCTTCTTCGACAATTAGCTTTTGTAATACTATGTTTTTTGTTCTTTGTAAATTCTGCTGTTTTCAATAGGAAGATCAGCTTTTCTTTTATTCTTTTGTCCAGAGAGGAAATGACTCGCGTATCTGTTTCCTTGGTTGGCTCCATTACTTTCATGCATTCCTACTAATGATTTTGGGTTTATTGTAACTCTAAGTTTTAGCTAAATGCAGCACTTGCAGAAGGTCTCAATCGGCCCGGAAAAGAAAAGGAAACTGATAATCTTGATGTTCTTGCAAAGATCTTTCATCAACAGTCATTAGACATGTAATTGTGGTGTTTACATCCAACCTCTTCCTCATCATATCCAACTGATCTTTCTTCTCCATTAGATATTCATCCTCCTGCTCCATCTCCGGCTCGGGTTTATACAATTATACTCCGTAAGCAGCTTGGATTCCAAGAACCTGGTTTCTTCTTTCTGGAATGCCATGGTCCTTCTATCAAGTTCTGTTGCCATACCATCGACTTTCCTCTTCTGTTGCTGCTCCTCCCCTTTCTGTGGTCACGGTTCCTTCACCTCCTTAGAAAAGCTTTTCAATGAAAAGGTGACCGCCTTATCCGGTTACTCCTCCATCGAAGTTAACCAGTGATAACATATCACAAGAAGTGGAGGCCCAGTACCTCCATATGGTGCACCAGAGCTCCTCCCCCTGGAATAAAATTCGACTTCAGGAACCAAGAACTTAGTTAGCCAACCATGAAGAGCTTGAATGTATGCTCTTTGAGCTGCAACATACTCGGAAAAGGAAGCACGCCAATTTCGAAGCTCGGCTTCGAGTTGAAGCGTAGCAAGTCGATGAGAATCGTTGCTGAACTTTCCAATTAATGAAGGGCAGGCGAAGATTTCACTTCAGAAAGAATTTTGTTTTGGGTTTCATGAGATTCAAGCATAACTTTCCCGGTTCGTGTTAGGCTGCATCAAAGGCAAGGTTGAATCAAAATCCAAAGTTCAGATGAAAATGTTGATTTTATGAAGATTCTTTTACCTACCCCTTCAACAGTTCAATAACTTGAGGCAGTAGTTCTTCATCTCTGAGTTTCTGAATTCTCTTCGAGATTGATTCCTCACTTCAAATCGGGATCAAGATTCATGCATACAAATCCTTCACTGCAGCTCTGGTTTTATCCATTGTAAGCTCATCATATCCCTTGACATCCTGGTTTCTTAGTCGATAATATTTTCTCTAGTAAATTTTCCTTGTGCTATCACCAGCCTGTATAGTAAATCAACACGTCAAACACTCGAATAATTATGTTCGAATATGTGTTAGAACACGAGCATTATTAAGAACTCAAAACGAAGCCTGAGTTATTACTATTCACACATTACCTAAAACCCTGAATTCTTTGTAAGAACAAAACGTTAACTTCACAAAAATTAAGATTAATTACTATTTTTTACCTTAACTTCGTCGTAAAGAGTCTTTTCCCAAGCATAAAGTCAGCCTAGTGTTAATGAATGACTCCCTGAATCCATCCCTCCATATCGATAAAAAAAATATCAGTCTTATATTCTGTACATGCTGATGAACTCTTTGAACTGGATGCCACAAGACTTATACATGATTGAGGCTTAGACAAAGTCGACCGATGTCATGTAACAGCCTGGATGATTTTAGTTGAGTCCTCTGCAAGAAAATTTGCAGAGCCATTGTGAGATAGGTCGCCCTATCTTCACTTGAGATGTTGGTGAAGTCAAGGCTGCCCCTTTGATTGTTTGAATCTAGGAAGACAACAAGGATCCTTTACAAGCAAGAAAACTCAAAATAGAATGGTTAGATGGAAATAAATGAAATGGAAAGATAAAAAATGGCAGTGGAATAGATAATGATGATGGTATGTTTGTTAGGATTTAGAGAAGTATTTGTATGGAGGAATGGTGGTATGGTGATGAAAGAAAGAATTATGGAAATGGTAGTGAAGAATGAAGGTAGTATCTCAAATAACAAAGGAATCAAACTAAACTATATTAAAGCTTAACCCTAGACCTTATAGAAACTTGAGGGGTGGTGTTTAAGGACTTTGACCCTTTAGGTATATTAAACCAAAAGAATCATAAGTATCAAGGTGGAAATAGATGGGGGTGACGCCACAAGCATAAGCTTGATAAGTTGATAAAGTTCACTTAAGAACTAAATAGAAAAACTCTCACAAATATTTTATAAATTAAAGTTGTATATTAAGGCTATTTATAAGCCTAAGGACGCATGGTGTGAATACAAGGCTTTAATGAGTGAACATTCATGGATGAATGTTCATCCTTAAGTAGATACAATGCACAGCCCCTATGCAAGTTCATGGACTAATTAAATAAATGAATGTTCATCCATTTAAGTGAATGTATCTTCATAGCCGAATTCATCCTCCCTTGGTGTGAACATGTTGGTTCATTTCCTTGCATGGATTTGGAGGAATGTATCCATGTAGGTTCGGCTCCCTTTAAAATGCATGCACCAAGTGTGAACGTGATGGTTTGTCTTCTTGGATGAATGTTCATGAATGTATCTTGGCTGAAATTTATCTCCCCTTATGTGCACCAAACCATTCGGCTACTTGAATGAATTTGCTTGGATGAATGTACATGGATTAAATGAATTCATCCTTCTTAAGTGTGAACAAGACTCTTGGCTGCCTTGGTTGAATGTACTTGGATGCACATGCACCATTCATGAATGGATCTTTGAATTAAATGGATTCATTTTCATAAACATGTTGAATTGTTCTCTTCACTTGGTTGTTGCCACTTAGTGTGTTCACATTAGACTTCTTTAATGCAAATCCCGTATGGATTTCCAGCCTGTACTGTCTTCGGTAATTTGGATATATCTCGAGCTCCCAAGGTCGGATTTATGTGATTCGAAGTGCGTTGGAAAGCTAAGAGACGGGAATAAGAGTCAAGAAGACATAATCACCCAGATATGCTTGGAACCAGCTCAAAAATCGCGAACAGTCTGACTTATGTGAACTGTCCCCTGGATTAATGTGTTCATATTGTGTACCTTGAATGTATTCAGCTCCCTTTAGTCTTCCCAGCTATTCTCCAACTAAGTTCAGCTCCCCTTTAGCTCATTCAGCTAACCTAATGGATGTCCCTTGTTCCCATATGTAATGGGGTAAGGGGAGGTAAGATAGTAGGCTGCCCCCACACTAGGTTGAGAACAGCTTCCGTAGGAGACCTCCAAAATATGAAATGCCCTCCATGGGACTTGATCCCACGACCTCAAGGTTAAGAACCTTGTGCTCTACCAACTGAGTTGGATGATCATTTGAGCTAACCTAGAGCTCCATTAAGCTCCCTTGAGCTAAGTGAGCAAGCATGACACTTTTGTGAGCTAACATGAGTTGCCCGGGCTTGTGTTTTCAATCGATGAGCTGCCATAAGTTGCCTTAGTTTCCAATATACCTATGCAAAGCATAAGAACAAGTATTTAGATAGGAATTGAGCTAGGATAATGATGAATGCTTGCTACCTTGAAGGTTATGAATGCAAATGAGTTAGGATTAAATGCAAAACACGACGTAAGTATTATATGAGCTAAGTATAAGATATGTGTGTATGAATTGAGCTAAGTAAAGATGTGAATGAATAAGTCATGCATGAATATAATATGTTATACATATAAATGACAGCGTATAATTCACAAGCATAGTCTAAAATAAGTAGTCAAGCATATTCACATGACATGTAAAGCATAAATAAGTAGATAAGTAACAAAATTAGGTAAGACTACCTTAGAATTAGTAAGGTAGACGTCCATGGTGTGATCATGTGTTGATGAAGTTTGGTCCTAGGCATGATCACATCACATTGGTTACTTGTTACAATATGAACATTAAGGCCATCAAATCGTGCTAAGGACCATGTTATTCAAACTCGGCGATGAGTAGGATGGGACTTATGTTAGACCCATATGTGCAAACGCAGGGCATGAGACTCAAAGATTTTGAGCAAAAAAAGCTAGTTTTTGTTGAACAAGCAGAAACTAACTAAACGTACATTATTAAAGCTTGAGTAAAGCTCGTATTCACCTTTAATTCCCTCCAAACCAGACTGCAAATGAAGCATATTAGCCTCCAACATTCTTGACACATCTTTCCCAGAATAATAAGCCCTGATGAAATAATCCTCAATAGCTTTCAAGGCTTCTAAAGCTCCCTCCCTTTATCTGGGCTATCAGTCACTGTGATCCTTTTTTGTTCTCCTTGGCTCACATGTGCCTCTTCCTTCGCTTTCAATACACCACTTTCACTCTCGTCATGCTCTCTCTTAGTATATTTCTCTTCAACAATGACAACTTTCTTCTCTGCCGCTCTTAAATCATCCTCAGAACGCCTCTTATATCCACTTATAATCTCTGGTCTAACAACATCAAACGGATTGAAAAAGTCCCAGCCAAAATTCCTATGCGGTGATGGCATTGGTGGTGGCATTTGCATATAAAAGTACCCACAATATTCTTGTTGTTTTTGTTGTTCAGTCACTTCATCTGAACTATCCGAGCTTGTTGAAGAACCACAAGACTCACAAGCAATGGCTTCGTGGGTGGTGGACTCTAAAGGTCTTTGTTGAAGCAACATTGTATTGGTTATCACGTTTTGGTCCGTGGCCGGTGGCGTAGGCGGACAAGGCGGTGGAAAAGTGATGAGAAAATGTGAAGCAGGTGAAGAATGGCGAGCTACAAAGAGCTTAATGGCAGCTGACACCACAAAAGAGCTCGGCCGTACCTAAAATGTGCTTCTGCAAGTGCATATCTTCTATCTACGGCTAACTTAATAAGGCGTTTCGACACAACCTCATCTTCTTCCTCAAGTTTTGAAGCAACACAACCCATTGAGTGGGGAGTGTTTTGCTTTGCCTTTTCTTTTTCTTTCTCTTTTTCTGCTGGTTTCAATAGGCGTAGAAGCTACTAACTTTTGAATATATGGGGATAGGGTAAAGAAAGGTAATCTTTTGGGGGAATCTAAGTGTTCTTTTCTGATAAAAAGAAGGATTGTCTGTAACAATAATGGAAGAAAAATAATGAGTTGGATTTACAAGGGTTTAATGTAGCTTTATGAGCAGTTCTAGAACCTGCAGAAGTACAGTAATATAAATATAAATGCACTTGTTAATATAAGTTACTTTATTAGACACTTACTAGCAAAACTTAAACTATATCTAGTTTTGGATAATAATTAATATATAACTGTAATGAAGAGAAAGGGCAAGTAGAACAGTAAATGACAGAGTTTAATGGGTACTGGAAAGAGATTAGAAAAGAACAGTGCTAAAAACATTAAAAATATATTATCATTTCCATTTTATAAGCAGACATGTTTCCTGGTGAGTAAAAAAGAACGGTCAAATCTAGTCTAGTTGAAGGAGAGTGATCACACCACTGCAACAACCCCAGAGAAGGTAAGAGAGTTCTGTCTTTTGCTTAGAAGTATGTAATGGATGAATCTTTTTCGTATCATATAGTGTTTCATGTTAGATTCTGTATTATATTAAGCTTATATTAAATCTTTAATGAGTTATTAAGTGGGGAATTCACAAAATCAGAAGATTTAACCTTGACTGTACTGGTCTTTACTGCTATTGACAAATCTCTTTAACAAAGATTGTTTTCTGGGCAATTGGTGAATAACAGTATTTTTTTTCTTGCATGGATTTGGAGTTTTGAGTGGTCATGTTTAGAAAATGAAGGTTCTTGTATGGTCCATAAATACAACAACAACAACAACAACAACAACAAAACCCAATTCCCATATGTAATGGGGTAAGGGGGAGGTAGGGTAGTAGGCTGCCCTCAACGCCAGGTTGAGAGTAACTTCCGTGGAAGACCTCCGGCAGTCAGAAAATTAAAAATATAGATAAAATGCAATGCATATATAAATAAATACATAAATACATAGTTGAACAGTATTCATATGCAGTCATTAATATCATATGCGCGTCTGTACTGGGCATATATCCCTGCAAAAAAAAAAAATCCCTGCGAAAAAATCTCTGTATATAGACAGAAACGTAAGACCCGACTAAATTTAAAAGTGGAGAGAATGATACACAGAAGTCAAAAGATAGCAAGCTCAGTTCTAAGCCTTCATAAATACCAATAACAGAAACGAATAAAAAATAAAAGTCATGGAAATTACTACAAAGGCATTAAAAGAAGACAGAGATGATACACCCTAGAGATGTGACCCACACTACTCGACTATCCTAGTCTTAAGTCTCCATACTTTCCTATCAGAGATCATGTCCTCGGTAAGGGCTAAATCAATCAAATCAGATCTCAAGCAGTCTTCCCACTTCCGCCTTAGTCGTCCTCTCCTTCTGGCACCGTCGACTGTAATCGACTCTACCCTCCTGACCGCATCAGACGGTAGTCGCCTAAGGACATGCCCAAACCACCGTAGTCTTCCTTCCCTCAATTTTTCGGAAACAGACACCACCCCCAAGGACATCCTAATAGCAGAGTTTGTTGTCATATCCCACAGAGTCCTACCGCATGTCCATCGAAGCATTCTCATTTCTGCGGTCTCTATCCTCCTTACATGATCCTTCTTGGTTGCCCAACATTCTGATCCAATGTATGGTCCATAAATGAATAATGTTATTCCAGAAAAACCTCCGACAAGTGTCATCACCCTCACTTGAAAAATTCGACTCAACTCGAAAAAATTGAATTTTTTATCAGTTTGGTACTAAAAACCTTCGCTCAACTCGATTCAATTTGGTTAATTCTCCCTTTGAATAGAACAAGAAATCAAAATACCTAACGACACTAGTCGAATAGAGAGTTGAAGGCTTCTTTTTTTCTTCGTTCAGTGGAGCAAATAGTTAAAAATCTTGGACAACCTCAACCTGGTTTCAGTTGTAAAGTGTACATCAACGTATCGTCTAGTTAATTATTTTTATTGAACCGTTCATATAATATCCATTTATCAAGTTAGATAAATGAATATGAACAAAATTTGTATGTTTTATTTAATAAATGAACAAACACAAAACAAATGTGTTTAATTCGTATATATGCATGAACAAATTCATTTATTAGCTCGATTATAAGCTCGTTTATTCAATTTTCATTTTCTTTTAATTTTCACATTTTAAATATTAGTGAATATAGGGATTAAATTGAACATAAGATAAATTTTGAAATTCAAACTGCCAAACCCAAGAAACTTAAAAACTAGTGGTGTAATTTCTTATTTTTCTTTGACCTGCAAGAAAATGGTGAAAAGGAAGTTTTGGTTGCGGAACAATGAAGGAACATTAAATTAACATGTTCATGAACATTAAATTAATTAATGGGATCTTGATATAAACCTGACATGAAACGTGGAGTTGTTCTTCACTGATCAGTACGTACAACAAGCCATGGCTTTTACAGAATCATTGATGGACAAAATGCACCAGATGAAGAACAAAAGGAGACTATTACATAGACTTGTAAGGGAACTATTCTCAGGTAAATTCAAACTATATTCATCGTCACCTTGTTTTACTCCTTTCTAGTTCTCTTTCGAGTGTTTCGGCACCGATGCGAAATGAAAAGTACTAGTTTCTAGTTAAAAGTCACAGTGTACATTAAAGAATTGAAGGCTTATTCCTTTTGTCGCTTTCCGGTATCATCAGGTACTGCCGGCTTCGGTTGGCATGGCACAAGGAGCCAGTGTACTCGGAAGCAATGTAACTACACTGCCTCGAACGGATATATTAGGAGCCTCAACGGAGGTTGCCTTGCTCACGAGGTTTGAGTTAAGAAATACCACGATTACCGTGATGTCGTCATGGAAATGGCGACGGACGCCGCTGTCAATCTTCTTCAGGTCGGAATACCTCATTTCTCTCTTCTTTGCTGCCTCCTGTAGAGCAGTCTTTACCAGCCTCTTCGCAATTCCCTTCATGTAGACCAAAGCCAATAAAAAGTTAAAACTTTTCTGTTCTTTCCGAATCCTTATTTTACGATGAAATTCTATATTCTACAATCAAATGAAAGTATCAGAGGGATAAAAGAAAAGATTACAGTTCATGACATTAAACACCGAGGCGGAAACTTACACTTCGAGGATGATTCTGAGCTATACCGACAGCTTCTTGATTGCTTAGGTGCTCCCAGAGCCCATCAGATGCAAAAATCACGAACTGATCATGTGGCTGCAGCTGGTGCACTGATATCGACGGGTCTGCACTCAATATCGGCTTTTTGAAAGGTTCGCAAAGGCGGAATTTAGGATATAAAGGCTCTCTGTTGAACTCAGCCTTTTTTAAATATACATCACCGATAGATCTGGAAATCTGAAACGTTGAGAATTCTATCAATAAAATTCTCAACAAAAAGAATTACTAGCATACTCAATATTTCTCAATCTGAACAAGAACTGGTTATTCTAGCTCCTTTGTTCATATGGTTACTCTAGTAGAAAATTGAGATGTAAGCAACAAATAAAAGAGAGTCCCATAAGCAAGGTCAGGGGTTCGAATCCTAGTGTTTGCGAATGGAGCAAACTAGGTTGGGAGGGTCGCCCTCGCCTCTGTAATACCCGATCTGGATTAGTCGGTCAACAGATCGGATACCAGTGATTAATTCAAAAAAAAAGTCTTATTTCATCTCTTTTTCCCTAACCATTTATGACAGCCATGAAAAAAGTATCACAGTTTAGAATTTGATGTTATTACTTAAACGATATAAGCGGTTAATTACTCGAAATAAAAAATGTGACCACTTAGTATAGTGAAACTTACCTGTATGATACCTTTTACACGCCACACATTGTGCTTCAAAACTACAATTTGTGGGTCATCAGGGTGCAATGATTGCAGCTCCCGTCTCACAGACTCTATGCACGCATTATGCTCGGCCGAGAGCTGAATGGCTAGAACCTCTCCTGTTGCTTTCACGGCTCTACCCAAAACAGCACGGGAATCGCCGAGGTTGGCGACATAGAGGGTTCCACCACAGATAACGCCAGTCAGGCAACAGGATCCAACAGCTGCAATTTGTGGTTTCATAGGCCACTGTTTGGTAACAAGAGACAAAAAACCCTCTTCTGTTGCTTGATATGCTTTTCGTATTACTTCAGCTGACATCGTCTGTTGCTCTGATGTGAACCCTGAACATAACAAATTTTACAGAATAACAAACATATCGGTAAAAAAGTGCAAGATAAAAATATCAAAGATAAAATCGGACACTACAGCCAAGTAAGCAGTGAGGCATAAAACGAGAAGGACACCACAGTAAATCCTTCAATCATTCCAAAACAATTGCCTATTGAATATTTCATTCATCTACATAATCGGTAAATAGAACTTAACTCGAATTTGACCGAGCAAAGGCTTTTTACTTACGTTTAAGATGTTGAAAGAGATGATCATTGATGTAACACGAAGTCTCTGGGCCCCCATGCCCGTCATACACACCAACAAAAGTACCATAGGGACCGCACTCATGTGAACTCAAACAACCAGACTCAAGCTGGCTCTGATCCTCGATTAAATTGTTGGCCTGAACCACTGCCATTGAGAACTCACCACTAAAGTGTTGCCCCGAGTCCTTGTACCACAAAAGCCCATCTTGGCGACCTCCAGCATCCGAGCTTCTGTGAATATCTCGATCTGAGCTTGGCCGAAAACAGGCCCTCAAGAAGTTTATAAACCCAGATAACATCCCTCATCTCCTCCAAAAAAAACCTCCAAATTCTCTACATCTAAATGAGCACCGAATACAACCAGGACTTACGCTCCTTTGCATCTCAACACGATAACGGAACACTACAGCAACACAAACAACAAAGCATACCAAAAGGTTTAACAATACTGCAATATGAAATTACAACTCAAAAACAACCAAATCAAGCAAACCTCAAGCAGAAATTAGTATCTTTCACTAGTCCTCAAGCCTTGATAGTACACTAAACTTGATAACTATATAACCAACAGCTAGCAGAGCAATAAATTGTGTACAAAAAGCTCCCTTCTTTTAGTTTGTTTCAGTGTAAAAAAGGAAAGACATGAGCATACCTCTGCTGGAAAAATCAACAAAAAATGAAGGGCTTTTTCAGACAACAGAATCAGTCAAAGCTCAATTCTTTACCTAACAAAGTAGTTGGTCAGCCATTACGATATCCAGAAGGTCTAAAGTTTCACATTGAGAACTTTAAACAAGAACGTTTCACAGAACCCTTAAACTCATCAATCATCATAATTCAACTCATGATTCCCACACTAAAAATTAAAAAAATAATAATAAGAAAAAGAAGCTCACCCTTTTTTTTTATTTGACCACTTTGATTTTATACTTTGAAAGGAGGATCCGGAAACAGAAAAGGCAAAAGCTTCATGCGAGCTTCAAAACCAGAATCAGTAGATCTATGGATCAATCACATCAAAAAGAGGGGGGGGGCGAAGTTTGGGTTTTGGTTGGTTTCAGCTAGCGATGATATAACTGGAGTGGAACAAGAATAGAACATAAACAGAGAAATTGAAATGGATGGGTTAGTTATTCCATTGTTCTTCAAAAAGGGGAAGTCTTTCTTTATATGTAGGATTTGGGGTTTGGCCCTAACAACATATAAAAAATCTATTTCTTTCCTTTTCCCTCTCCTATTATTATTATTATTATTATTATTATTATTATTATTATATTAATCATAGATTAACTAGAAATAGTAATTGATGTGCAAAAATATTTTTAAAAATAATAATGTAATGTATTATTTTAGTTGATGTAGTCTCTCACAGGGTAGAGTGTGTTTTGGAATTATTACTTCAAAAATAAAATAATGATAATAAATATTTGTTAGAAAAATGGTTGAAAAATACATTTTTATTAGATGAACTTAATTATATGAGAACTGATTTTAATTATTATATATTTTAAGTGATGCGGCATATTTATCCAATTTATTATCTTTTAATTTAATCTATTGAACTTGACCTCAATTGTTTTGTTCATTTTAAAAATACAAGGAATAAAATGAACTCCACTTTATAGTACAGGGACCTATATGATAATTTTACCACTTTTGTTAGTATTGAACTTAATCTTTTTATGCATATTTTTTAAGTTTAAAATTTCGTTCTATTAAATCGTACGAGGAATAACCCTTTAGTTAATTACTCAAATTGCTTTAACAAACCCTAAATTATATTCTTTTATTTTTCTTGCACATTCTATTTTCAGTAATGAGTAATGATTTATTACATTCAAACACAACTACTCGGATCACATCCAATAAGATTGTAATGGTATTAACAACACTTAAAGACAATAAAATTGATATGATTGGTACTCCGTTATTGGTCGCAAATGAGACGAGATAGACCATGAGTTACTTGAAATAGACTCGATTAAAGTTTGATAAATACTCGATTTGAATAGACACGGGTCGAGCTCGAGCTCGACTTGAGTTCTTAACTAGCCGAAATAATGTAAACCCCACAGACCGATGCGGGTAACCAGATCCGATCTGGGGTGTCACATTTGGGTCACCGGAGCGACCCACTGTAAAAATAGCGGAAAATTTAAAACTTTTATTGAAACGTGTAACTTATAAAATCAGTTATCACTATTTAAAAATAAAACAGATTTCCAAACTCGTATATAAATCAAAATACAATTACATGCCCCCTAATCACATGTATCATACTCTGCAACCACGCCGGAAGAACTCCCTTACTGAAGTCGATAGATGCACTGGTACAATTCTTTTAACCTGAAAAGGTGGAAAGCTCAGTAATACAGAACTACTAGATGATATTGAAGAACGTGCAGATACAGATAAACATATTTTTCCTTATCGATTCAGACATTTACAGATCTTTATACTGAGCAGAGATTCTACGGATATTTCAGGTAGTAACAAATAGTATTCATTTCAGATGGAAATATTTCGGATGTCTAGGTTCAGGCTTATCCTAATCACTTACTTAATCCTCAGTCATTGAAGTTACTTAGTTCATTTAGCATTCAAGTCCATTCCAGTTACTTCGGGATTTTCCATAGTAATACAAACGTTCCTGAATTTCATATATATATTGTACTTCATATCCATTCAATTTGGTCTTCTTGGTTGATTTGTCGAACAAACGTCCAATTCTTAATACTGAATGCGATCTAGAGTTGAGCTGAGCTGAATACTTCTAAAATTATCATCGAGCTAAACTTGAGTAGACGAACACGCATTCAAGTAATATCTATGTCGTTCAGGTACTGACATATCATTAAAGTTGATCGGCTTACTTAAGTTGTGTTCCATAACTTTTTAAAGGTAGTCCAACACCTATGCTTATTTGGATTCCTTAATTAATCCAATACATTTACTTAATATAGGCCATAAGGGTATTTTGGTAATTTTGGTGTTCAGTTTTATCCCATTCATTTCAGAGTTCGAGGATATCCAATCATTCATGAGCTTAGTGACATTCTTGAGTCATTTACATTATAGGGGTATTTTGATCATTTTACAGATCTACGGTATTTCAATCTTTTCCTACCATCCGATCTTATTATTTAATTCAATCTTATCATTTACTTCAGTCCTTTCGAACAATTCTGACAGCAGAATACCCCCGATAAATTACTCTCCAAGTATTTACTCATTATTCGAATATTGTCGGGTCAAGTGTCTTCTCAGATTTTACAAACAGAATATCATGAATTTTTCTGTACAAAGACATGATCTTAACAATTAAATTCGTACTTAATCGAGTTAAATATAAATCCTCAAAGTACTTTCTCATTCAGGGTCAATTCAGACTATTTTATCTCTAAAGGGTATTTTCGTAATTTCTTAACCATATAATTTTGATATTTGCTCTTAACGAAAATAATATAACATAGAGATCCTATGATTAATTGCTTCCTCGAACATTCTTTGATCTTGAAATGATTCCTTAAAAGACTTCTAGTATCTAGCATAAACCTTCTTGGGGTTAAAAACCGGTTATCCATAATTTCCAAGTAAAACTAACATTTCTTATGCACACCAATAGTTTTAATAGATCAATAATTCTTTTCAGATTTATTAATCCACTTCCAGAGACAATTCTTGCCATTTTCCAACATAAGGGTAATTTCGTAATTTTACCAAATCGAAATATTCTCATAATTTATCATCTAAGTACCTTTAATGAGATAAATTATAATCTACAATCCATGGTTGATTCTTTTATCACTTAATTCCAGAACTTGTAATTTAATTCCTACTGTCCTCCAATTTCTTATAATAGTCATCTGAGCCATATTCAGTTATCTACTTTCTACCGTATTCGTATCTAGTGTAGATCTTCATTTATTATACATATGAGACCAAACATTTCCATTCATGCATTTACCAATACCAACATGTTCTATAAAGCATAAAGAGGTAGTAAAGTATTACCTCGATTTCCGTGCAATACTGATCGACCATAAAAATTCCATTCGAACGCCTTTGATCTTCAATTCAACTTCCAATAATTCCTCAGATACATATCAATATAAATTATATCAGAAACGGAGCTTAATTACGATAAACGGATCGAATCGGGTGATAAATCAGTGAAAGATGGCTTACCGGGTTCGAATTTGGCGAAACGGACTTCGGATTCGGATTCAGGACGTCTAAAGCATAAAATATGACTTTTTCGGAAATCTGGAATTTTTGGTCAAAATCAAAGTCAACGGGTTTGACCGGAAATTCCGAGATCTTCGGGTTCGAATTTCGAAAAACGGATAGCGGAATCAGATTTGGAACGTCGAAAAATGTCAGGATAGGTATACTCGGTCGAAGTCAAAGGTCGTTTAATGCCTGGTCAAAGCCGATCAAAGTTTTGGTCAACAGTGATCAACGCCGGTCAACGGGTCGGTCGGGTCGGGTTATGACCGGTCAAACCGGTCAAAACAGTTCCAAAACCTGTCAAACCGGTCACTTTTTCCTTCCCCACGCGCAGTGGCGGCGCGTGAACATTGCTAAAATCCCGGAAAAATTTCTAAAAATTATTTTGAGCGATTTCGAGATACTTACAAAGCTCAGTTCACAATTTTGAACGGCGGAGAGCTCGATTTCAATAAATTGGAAACTTTGACCGCTTCACATCCTCACGCGCCGCCGTCGACGGAGACTTAGGATGACACCGACGAACTCGGAACGATGCAATGAACACGATGGTGCAGGAGGTGTCGTAAACGGATGACCCGATCGTCGTGAATCGATGAAAAACCAACTAAAACCGAGTTATTACCGACGATACTTCCGACTGAAATTAACGACGAATGGAGATGATTCACAACGAAAGGTTTGAGGGGTTTTGTTCCTCGGTTGACAACGAACACGATGGTGGTTTCGGCTCGTCGATCGGAGGTCAGACGACGAGTAGATCGGAGTTCAAAGAGGATTTAATGAAGGGGAAAATCTGGAAAATTTTCCAGAAAACATACGGGAATGGGGGATTTATAATTCAACTCATAATAAAAATGGGTAAACCATGAGTTTAGTCACTGAACTTCCTGCACTTCTTAAAACGGTCTGCCAACTTTAAAATTTTACAATTTAACCCACTGTTTCTTTCAAAATACCAAATTAAATCCACCACTTTATAATTTCTTAATTTTAGCCCCTAGTTTGGGGTGTTACAATTCTCCCATCCTTAAAAAGAATTTCGTCCTCGAAATTCATTCATGTCACATAATTGCATAAATGAAACTTCCAACAGTTCTTTCAAATCTTTCAATAGCTTTTACAAAAGTAC